TTTTAATGTGCATCTTAGCCATTTGTATATCTTCTTTGGAGAAATGTCTATTCCCATCCTTTGCCCATTTTCTAATTGGGTCATCTTTTTCTTTCTCAATGGTAAGTGTCTCAGTGGCTTGCCTTTTTACTTTATTGATAGTATATTTTCAAGCACAGCAGCTTTAAATTCTAGTGTTAATCCATATTTTTAGTTGTTATATCTAAGAAGCCTCTGCTAAATGTCACAAAGATTTATTTCTATGTTTTCTTTGAAGAAATTTACAATTTTAGCACTTGAATTTAGCTATTTTATTTTGAGATAATTTTTAAATACAATATTTGGTGGGACTCCAACTTCATTCTTTTGCGTATGGATATCCATTTGTCCCAGAACCATTTGTTGAAAATACTATTCTCTTCTCATGTAGTCATTTTGGTATCCTGGTTGAAAATCAATTGACCATACACGTGCAGGTCTATTTTTGGATTCTAAATTCTAAAACATTGATCTGTCTATTCTTATGCCAGTACCAAATCAACATAGATGGTAACTCTTTTTCAGTCATGTTACATATTACCAGTTGTATATTATCATAATAAACATTCAGTATAGAGAAACATCTCTACTTTTTGTTTCTTGAAGGAGCCCATGGCCAGCTTATGCATTGCTGACTCCATGACATGATGGGAAGTCAGACTTACAAAGTCAAGAGTCCATTCCTTTTTTTCTCTATTCAAACCTTTAGTCTCTCTTTGAATGTCTCTCTCTTGATTCCCATTTTCATCAAATCTTGGTCACATCATCATCTGACAATCTACTATTTCATGCATTATGCTTTACTAACTCATTGTAATTAGTACAACCATCGGTAGATGTTACCCATCCTGGCAGAAGAGTCAGTCCAGGCCGTAAGCTTTTCTCGTTGGAAATTGAGCTAATGCAGCATCTTGCAGTTCACAGGTAGATCTTATTTTGACCTAGTACCTGATTTTTATGTATAACACCTGGGATGATCCTTGCTTGGTACAGTTGCTGCATTCTCAGAAATCACAATTCTATGTAATTACCTCCCGCTGCTTAAACAGATTAAGATGCACAGCTATATTTTATAGCTTCATATATCATTATTTTTATAATAAATTCTTTATCTCATTCAAAGAAAAAGTTTCAGAAGTGCAGCACTAAAAAATCAGGTTATATTCAGACAATTTATCAGAGACAAAAGTGAAATTAGTTGTTTGAATTTCGAAATGTCAGAGCTAATTCGTATATGAAGAAGTGTTGTGGTACAACATGAAGATTAAATTGTCTTCATATAGACAAACGTACAGTGAAGGAGAAATTGTATTTATTAACTTTTAAAACCCACTGTATTTTAGTTCTGAGATATTTAAACATGATTCAATAATGTCCTATTTATTTTCTCATTGAGGAAAGGAAAATATTGAATGCCAGATTGATTAATCAATGCTCAGTGCTGCCTAGCTTTTTTAAGATTTTATTTCAGTGAAATCAGATAACCTGTCTGATTTTGATAGTTAAGCCAAGTATTTTTAGTTGTTTTCCAACTGTTGCACTTCAAGTCTTGCCTCTTTGTTTCCCAGTCTTACTGATTAACTTGAGGGGAAACTCTAAAGAAGTACACTTGTCTAGTAATAAGAATTTTTTTTTTTTTTTTTTTTTTTTTTGAGACGGAGTCTCGCTCTGTCGCCCAGGCTGGAGTGCAGTGGCCGGATCTCAGCTCACAGCAAGCTCCGCCTCCCGGGTTTACGCCATTCTCCTGCCTCAGCCTCCCGAGTAGCTGGGACTACAGGCGCCCGCCACCACGCCCGGCTAGTTTTTTGTATTTTTTAGTAGAGACGGGGTTTCACCGTGTTAGCCAGGATGGTCTCGATCTCCTGACCTCGTGATCCACCCGTCTCGGCCTCCCAAAGTGCTGGGATTACAGGCTTGAGCCACCGCGCCCGGCCAAGAATTTTTAATTAAAGGGAATTTTAGGAGATTTTTCTCCTCAGTAACTCTAATGTCTGTCTGTCTTCTAATTATCTACTGCTTCTCATTAGCATTGTTATGAGTAAATTAATCTCAACCTTTATTAGATCCTACTGTAAAGGTGACTAATTTCTACTGTGTGAGTTATGTTTTCTATTGTTATTTTTTAAATCAAATTTTCATTTTCTTGTTTTCTAACAATCACCCACTATTTCGTGGGTTAAAACAACAACATTTGGCCAGGCACAGTGGCTCACACCTATAATCCCAGCACTTTGGGAGGCTGAGGCAGGTGGATCACAAGGTCAGGAGATTGAGACTATTCTGGCTAACACGGTGAAACCCCGTCTCTACTAAAAATACAAAAAATTAGCTGGGCGTGGTGGCAGGAGCCTGTAGTCCCAGCTACTCAGGAGGCTAAGGCAGGAGAATGGCGTGAACCCGAGAGGCAGAGCTTGTAGTGAGCCGAGATGGTGCCACTGCACTCTAACCTGGGTGACAGAGTGAGACTCCATCTCAAAAAAAAAAAAAAATTCTTTTTATTAATAAATCTGCCATTTGGGAAAAGCTTGGCTAGGACATCTAGTTGCTGTTCCTCTCAACTTCCCTGGGGACAGCTCAAAGACCGGGAAACTACAATCATCTGAGGGTTTGGTCAGCTATGTGTCTTGTTGCTAATGCTGGCCATTGGCTGGGATGTTGGCTAAGGCAGGCATCCAGATCACCTGCGTTGGAGCTTCTAGCCACTCACAGTGACTTGCTTTGAATAAATGCAATGTGGTGAGAGTTACATCATGGGATTTGCAACATTAGCTTAGAAAAAGCTTTATCTCAAACTGCTTGTCCTTAGTACCCCCTTCCCCTGTTTTGAGTGAGGATGGTCAGACCACATTCTAGTTATTAGCAGTAAGTCACTAAGTTTGGCACATATTTTTTTATTTTAATGAGACAAATGTTTTATGTTTTTAGTTGACATGTACATACATGTTTATGGGATATAGAGTAAGTGTGATATCTCCTCCATATATGTATATGATATATAATGCTCAAATCAGTCTAATTAGTATATTCACCTCAAACATTTATTATTTATTTCTGTTGGGAACATTTCCGATCCTCTCTTCTAGCTTTTTGCAATTATACCATAAATTATAGTTAACTGTGTTCACCCTACCATGCCACACATGGAACACACCAGAACTCATCCTCCTATCTAGCTATTAGCTATGATCAATTTAGTAAATGTTGCTGGTAAGTATTTTGAACTTCAGTTTCTTTTTCACATTTATAAAATTGCTTTCTGAATCCCTGACTTAAACTGAAACAAATATATAATAATTATTATGCAGGTTGTCATTACTTTAAAATGTACCCTTTTGATTTGTTTTTTTATTTTTAATTTTTCTGGGTACATAGTGTATATGTGTATATATGGGTTACATGAGATATTTTAATACAGGCATGAGATGCATAACAATCACATTAGGGTAAATGGGGTATTCATCACCTCAAACTTTTATCCGATGTGTTACAAACAACTTATACTCCTAGTTATTTTTAAATGTACAATTAAATGTTTGTAACTGTAATTTTAATTTGTTTAGACAAAAGCAGCAACTCAAGAAAACCCAATAGCACTTAAGAAAGGATGATATTGTTTCAATAAATAAGATGGAGCTCATAATTAAAGATCTGGAATCTGAACTCTCCAAAATGAAAACTGTAGAAGACTTTACTAAAACAATTAGATAACTATAAAAGCCTCTATCTAGATTTAAAATTTAGGGATTTGTTGTCAAATGAACTAAACAAGTCAGTCAAAATATAGTTATAGAAAATAAGCTCATTAATTTGCCTCAAAAGTATAACTTTTAGTGAGACAGGTTCACACCATTAGTGGGAAGTAAAAGTTAATTAGATAATATAATTATGGAAACATGATGTTAGTAAATGAACTGACCTTTAAAATGTCCAGAAGAGTTTGTGTCTCTTCCCCATTTGTTGGTTTTTTATAGCTTTTTTCCACCTTCAGATCCTCATCTAGTTAACCTGATCTGTTAGCCTTTCAGCTAAATATTTTTGAAGTATTTAATTCAGACAGTAGTATTGTCATGAAATTGCTTTTCAGCATGTCCCCAAATAGAAATACTGATAAGTTTAACTATTGCTTGGAAGATTAAAATTGAGACTAAAATGGTCAAGTACAATTACTACTGCATTTCACTTTCTGGCACTTGGTAAATTAACTTTCTTTGATAGTGATCTTGGGGTATTATCATTAGACAGCACACTGAGAAAAACTATCCTGTATAGTCTTTTTCCACTGTATATAAAAACATCCTTGTGAAATGGGAAATGAATAATACAGAGATTAAGGGATACATAATTCACAAAATGGTTAAAAATAACACCTTGGTTAGCCTGAAGGGGGTGTGTGCATGATAGAAGGCACACACTCTGGGACCTTGGTTCAATGTTAGTAGCTTAAGTGTCTTTGAAGCTGTTCTAGTTCTTTTTGATCACCCATTCAGCTGTGTTTTGTCTCCCCTAGGAGCTGTTCGTCTGAATTACTTTTCAGTGCCAAATGACTAATTGATCCCAAATAATGAGTGAAAATGTACAAGAAAGGGGAAAGGAAATGCTTGAAAATATCTTTGAGGGATGATTTTTAAAAATCTTTCAACTGGTTTAATAAACACATTTATAGCTTTTTAGTTTTAGTTTTTTAGTTGTACATATTTAAGAAATGCAACATGATGTTTTGATATATTTCTACATGGTGAAATAGTTATGGCAGGCAAAGAAATTGTTAGAAATCGTCCTAAAGATACATGTACTTTTTGATAACAATTTAAAAACTATAATTGCATATACTAGGCATGCTCTCACACATCCTCTTTGTTACAGCACTGTTTAATGGGAAATTTTATAGAAACTTTCTCCTCTTAAATGCAAGTCCTTTTGTAATTATGTAGGAAAAAATAAAATACTAAGCATTTTTCTTTTACATTCTTTATTGAACTCAGGAGAGACAAACAGAGACCAGTAAGAATCCTCTTGTGGAGAAACAACAGACCAGATCTTTATTCATAACTCATGCCAGGAGGCCAGTCCTAGAGTCACCTTGTGTTGGAAATCCTACCAATAGTTTGTGTAAACAGGAAACTTTTTTTAGAAGAAAAATTTGTGATTTCTTCCTGAAGCCTACAGACATAAAAAAACAGTGTGAAGAACTACTTATCCAAGGTTAGTTATATTATCTTTCTTCCTTTGGTTTTCAGATTTCTGATTCAATTCTTGTTTTAAGTAGGTGAAATACTGAGTTAACCGACTTACGTGTGTTAAATAATGGTCAGCATTACCTGTGTTACCAAAAAAAAAAAAAAAAAAAAAAAAAAAAAGGTTTACAGTTTTCTAAAAGTCCCTGGAGCTCTCATTTTTATGAAATATGCATTGGTTAACTTCATTCAATAAACTGAAGTAATACATTTTAAATTGCTTTAAAAGCTGCATTTAAGTTACATTTTAGAAAGTGAGTATTATTTCCTAGTAACTAAAGATACACTTTTGAGATGTTTTGGCTTACTTTCTGATTGGTTTGAGTTTGGCTGTGATTCGTAACACTTTTAATGTTTTCCTGTACCATCTCAAGTTTTGCACCCCTAATCAGAAGTGAATGTTGGACATCCAAACACTTAACCACATATAGATGTTCATTAAAGTAACCTAAGCTTCCAGGGTGCAGCAAGTGGCTTCCTAAGTTAGCAGGGAAAAGCTGGGTGGGCAGACACAGGAAAGCCTGGAGTGGCCTGATTCCTCACCTCAGCGTGCTTTATATACTGAGGTTATGCAAATGAGATTCCTAGAGTACATGTTCTAATTGAAAGAAAAACCTCTAGAGATACTGTGATTGGACTTTGTTATCATGTTCTGATTGGATGAGAGCAAGTATTAGGACAACCAATCAGAGCATGAAAATAAAGTCCAATCAGAGTAAGCCTAGAGGTTAATCTTACCCAATCAGAACATGCAGTCCAGGAGCCGCCATTGCCTAACTTCAGTATATAAAGCATGCGGAGGTGGGGATGCTCCAGACTTTCCTGTGCGTGCCTGCTCAGCTGTTCCATGTTAGCTTAGGAGGCCACCTACTGCGCGCTGGGGGCTGGGAGCTGGAGCCAGGGGCACTGTGGCTCGCCTCTCGCCTTGCCTAGCTGTGGTTAATGGTGATCACAGAGACTGCTGCGCGGTAGGAGCGGTAGGAGGAGGGGAGACTGCGAGGGAGACTACAGCCCAGCGGGAGCGGTGGGAGGGGAGATTGCGTCGGAGACTGCAGCCTGGCAGGAACGGTAGGAGGGAAGAAAATGGTTTTGGGGTAGATGGAGGGGTAAAGGGGGTGGTGAGTGCCAAAGGGAAAAAAATTGGCGAGCAGGAGAAGGCCTTGCAGAGAGAGGGTGGGAAAAAGATGGTGGGAAAATCAGCTTTCAGATAGATGGAATGAGGAAAAGGGTGGTGAGTAGCAGGAGGGTGGAGAAGGCTTTGGGAAAAGACGGGGGAAAATGTTTTTGGGTAGATAGAGGAGCGAAAGAGGGTGATGAGAGTGCAAGGGGGGAGAGAGGGGTGGCTGGGGCGGGGAGGAGAAAAGGTGGTGGGGAAAAGGGTGGTGAGTGGGAGAGTAGAGAGGGCTTTGCAAAGAAGCAGTGGAGAAAAATGGTGGGGAAAAGATTTGGGGTAGATGAAGAATGAAAAGCAGTGGTGAGACAGAGGGGCCCGAAAGCAGTCCAGAAAAGAAGATGGGGAAATAATGGTGGGGAACAAATGTTTTGGGTAGATATTTTTCTGATTTTTAACTTAAATTGTTTGTATTTTTGCTTTTGAGTAGTTTTACTTTCTATATTTTGTGTATTAACCCCTTGCCTGATGCATAGTTTGCAAATACCTTTCTTTCATTCTCTGAATTGTTTCTCCATTCTACTGATTGCTGCTTCTGCTTTGCAGAAGCTTTTAAGTTTAATGTAATTCTGTCTGTCTGTTTTGCTTTTGTTGCTTGTACCTCGGATGTCTATTTGAAAGTTCATTGTCCTAACCAATTTCATTACACATTTATCCTGTTTTCTTATTTAGGAGCTTGATAGTTTCGGGTCCTACAATTAAATCTTTGAGTTGGTTTTTGTATATGATAACAGTCTAGACTTCTTCTACATGTGGGTGTTGGGTTTTCATAGCAGTTTTTTGAAGAGATTGTTCTTACAGAAGGTGTATTCTTGGTGCCTTTGTTAAAAATGAGTTGACTGTAAATGTGTGAATTTATTTCTGAGTTCTCTATTCTGTTTTATTTCTTTGTGTCATTTGTCTGTCTCTGTCTCTCCCATGCCCCTTTTTTTGGCAGCACTATGCTGTTTTTATATTATACTATAGATTTGCAGTTACTGTGGATTTATAGTATATTTTGTAGTATATTTTGAAATCAGGTAGTGTGATGCCTCCAGCTTTTGTTTTTCTTCAAGATTCTTTTGTCTATCTGAGGTGTTTTGCTTTTCCATGTGAATTTTAGAATCTTTTTCTATTTCTATGAAGAATTTCTTTGTAGTTTAACATGGATTGCATTGATTCTATAGGTCACAATGAGTGATATAGATAGTTTAACAATATTCTTCTAGTGCATGGACATCAGATATCTTTCCATTTACTTGTGTCTGCTTTCACTTGATCTACGTTTTATAGTTTTCATTGTAGGATCTTTCGGCTTTTTGGTTAAGTTTATTCATAGGTATCATTATTTTGTTGGGAGGATGAATAGCTACTGTCTTGATTTCTTTATGTGTTTCACTGTTGGTGTATGTGTGTGCTACTCATTTGCGTATATTGATATTGTATCTTGCAACTTTACTAAATTTATTATTTCTAGTAGGTTTTTTTTGTAGAATCTTTACGGTTCTTTCTGTATATATGATCATGTCACCTGCAAACCGAGACAATTTGACTTTTTTCCCCCAATTTGGATGGCTTTTATTGCATTCTCCTGTCTAATTGCTCTGAATAGGACTTCCAGTACCCTGATAAATAAAAGTGGTAAAAGTAGCCACACTTGTTCAAGATCTTAGAGGAAGAGCTTTTACCTGTTCCCCATTGATTATAATGTTAGCTGTGGGTTTGTCACATACGGCCTTTATTGTGCTATGTTCCTTCTGTACTCATTTTGAGTTTTTATGAAGGAATGTTGAATTTTATTTTTTTTCAGCATCTACTGAAATGATACGGTTTTTGTTCTTGATTCACTTAATGTGATGTATGACATTTATTTGTGTTTATTGAATCATCCTCATATTCCTCCAATGAATCCCCCTTCATCATGGCAGATGATCTTTATTGTGTTGTCAAATGCAATTTTCTCATTTCGTTGAGGATTTTTTGCATCCATGTTCATCAGGGATATTTGCCTGTGGTTTTCTTTTTGTGTTGTGTCCTGGTCTGCTTTTGTAGCAGGGTAATGCTGAACTCACAGAAGAAGTTTGGAAGTATTCCTTCCTCTTCATTTTTGGGGGAGTATTTTGAAGAAAATTGTTATTACATCTTTCAAAAATGTTTGGTAGAATTCAACAGGAAAACCATAATTCTTCTGTCTTTGATGGATGATTTTTATTACTGCTTTAATTGGCATTACTCATTATTAGTCTGTTCAGTTTTTTTATTTCTTCATTCCAGGTTGTGAAATTGCTGTTTCTAGAAATGTATTCATTTCTCCTAGATTTTTCAATTTGTTTATAATTAGGTGTTTTTATTAATCTCTTATGATCCTTTGTATTTCCGTGTTATCAATTGGAATGTTTCCTTTTTCATCTGTGATTTTTTTCCAGTTTTCCTTCTCTTTTTCTTTGTGTCATTATAGCTTGTCAATTTTGATTTTTTTAAAAAAAAAGCCAGCTTTTTGTTTCTTTGACTTTCTGTAATTTTTTTTAAAGTTTCTATTTTTAAAATTTCTTATCTATATGATTTATATTTTCCAACTAATTTTAGCGTTTGATTTTTCTTGTTTTTCTCATTACTTGAAGTGTACTGTCAGGTTGGCTATTTGAGAACTTTCTACTTTTTGTATGTTGACATTTGTAGCTATGCACTTTTCTTCTTACAACTGCTTTTGCTCCATCCCACAGGTTTTGTTATGTTGTGTTTGTATACTTGTTTCAATGACTTTTTAATTTCCCTTATTCAATGAATTTTTAATTTTTTCATTTATTGACTGTTTGTGAGCATGTGTTTTAATTTTCATATATTTGTACAGTTTTTAAAGTTCCTGCTGTTACTGGTTTCTAGTAGTATCCCACTGTGGTTAGAAAAGATACTTGATATGATTTCAGTTTTTATTGTAATTTTAATTTTATTTTTTTATTTTTTATTTATGTTTTGAGATGGAGTCTTGCACTGTCGCCCAGGCTGGAGTGCAGTGGTGCGACCTCGGACCCCACTGCAAGCACTGCCTCCTGGGTTCACGCCATTGTCCTGCCTTAGCCCTTGAGTAGCTGAGACTACATGAGCCTGTGACCACGCTCGGCTGATTTTTTGAATTTTTAGTAGAGATGAGGTTTCACCATGTTAGCCAGGATGGTTGCGATCTCCTGACCTCCTGATCCCTCTGCCTCAGCCTCCCAAAGTGCTGGGATTACAGGCGTGAGCCACCACGCCCAGCGGATTTCAGTTTTTAAAAATGTGTTGTTACTTGTTTTTTGGCCTAACACATAGTCTATCCTGGAGAATAATCCATGTGCTGCTGAGCATTGTGCAGTCGTGGAGTTGTGCAAAGCTGTGTAAATTTCTGTTGGATCCATTCAGTATAGAGTACAGCTTAACTGATGATTTTTTTGTTGTCTGGATGATCTGCCACATTGATGATAGTGGAGTATTGAGTATAGTAGAGTGTTGAGGTACTCTATTATTATCAATTTTTTTTAGATGGAATTTCTCTCTTGTTGCCCAGGCTGGAGTGCAATGGTGCAATCTCAGCTCAGTGGAACCTCCTCCGCCTTCCGGATTCAAGCGATTCTCCTGCCTCAGGCTCCCCGAGTAGCTGGGATTACAGGCATGTGCCACCTCGCCTTGCTAATTTTTTTGTATTTTTAGTAAAGATTGGGTTTCTCCATGTTGGTCAGTCTGGTCTTGAACTCCCGACCTCAGGTGATGCACCAGCCTTGGCCCCCCAAAGTGCTGGGATTATAGGCGTGAGCCACTGTACCCAGCAGGAAACTTAAGTTGAATACATGGAAGCAGGGTAGAATGGTGGTTACCAGGGACAGGTAGGTTGGAGAAAAAGGTTGGTCCAAGAGTACAGAGTTGCAGTTGTGTGATTATAGTTAATATTTTGTATACTGGAAATATGCAAAGAGTATATTTCAGGTGCTGTCATCTAACTATATGAGAAGATAGATGTGTTAATTAGTTTTGACTGTAGTAATCATTTATGTGTATACATGTATGTATACACACACATATATATTCATATATATGAATTAAAAAAGGCTGTGCACTTAAATATATACAATTTTATTTAAAAAATAAAAATATGAAACAAAAGAAAGCATGCATATAGTCTTAAATTCAATTACCGATATAAATAAGTGCACTGCTCCTCAGAACAGTGAATTAAATGTCAGTTATATTTGTTTGTTTATATTGTAAACTTTCCTTTTATTTTCGTATGTTTTCTATTTATAATTATGCAAATATTTAATGAGTTCACAATGCAACTGTATATTAAATATCCTCAACATGTTTTGGAAGTGATGAATGTTACAAGTTTTAGGTCATAGTCACTGTAAGAATGTTCCCTTGGAAAGTATTATTTTCTGTTGGTTTTTATTTTAAAACATTCACCGTTACCAAGATATAGCCTGGGTTTTCCTAATGTTTACCCACCATAAATAATGTTATAGTGAACGCCTCTGAGGATATATCACTATGGGCAATTAAGCATACTTCTGACAGCTTCTCAAATTTGGAATTGTTGATTGAAAATCAATGAACATGTTAAAATAGGATAATTACTTTTCACCCTCAGATATGTTGTTAAAAATAAGTTTCTTTAATTTTATGTAATAGTACCAGTACCAATTTTTCACACACTTCACATTACAATTAGATACTATAAATTTCATTAATTCTTATGTATATTACAGGCAATAAAATCATCTCATTGCTGTTTCAACTCGAAGTTTCTGATTACTGTAATTCCAGATTGTACCGTGTCATATTTATTATATAGTTTATATTACATTTTGTGAACTCTTCCAGTCTCCTTTACCACAAAATGGAATGTGTGGAAACAAAACTGGTTTTATACAAGAGTATCTTTTCCTTGTCTAAGAATCACATATTCACCCCAGCAGTACAATGCATGTGTCTGTTTCACAGTAGCAATAAAATGTGAATAGAATCACACTCATATCTCCCATGACAAAACCAATGTCTTATGTACAACAGTTCTTAATTTTGCGTTGACAAATCATTTTTTATTTTTTCAGCTACATATGGTCAGTTTCTCTTTGTGTGTTGCATAGCTTCCAATTGCATCTAAGAGTCTTTTTCAATAATTTTGGGATACAGGTGTTTTTTGGTTACATGAGTAAATTCTGTAGTGGTGATTTCTGAGATTTTGTTGCACCCTTACCTGAGTGGTGTACACGACACCCAACATGTACTCTTTTATCCCGCACCCCCTCCCACCTTTCCCTCCAGGTGCCCAAAGTCCATTATATCATTCTTATGCCTTTGCATCCTCATAGCTTAGCTCCCACTTACAAGTGAGAGCATTTGATACTTGGTTTTCCACTCCTGAGTTACTTAGAATAGTGGCCTCTGGCTCCGTCCAAGTTGCTACAAAGGCCATTATTTCATTCCATTTTGTAGCTGAGTAGTATTCCACGGTGTATATATTCCATATTTTCTTCATCCACTTGTTGGTTGATGGGCATGGTTGATGGGTTTCATGTTTTTGTTGCAAATTGTGCTACTATAAACATACATGTGCATCTGTCATTTCCATGTAATGATCTCTTTTCCTCTGGGTAGATACCCCGTATTGTGATTGCTAGATCGAATGGTAGTTCTACTTTGAGTTCTTTAAGAAATCTAGGAGTCATTTTAATATAGATAATTGAATTGCAGTTAACTCTCCCTGCAGTTTTTCACGCTAGTTACTTACTACTGCTGATTTTTTTTTTTCTTTTTTTTTTTGAGACGGAGTATCGCTCTGTCACCCAGGCTGGAGTGCAGTGGCCGGATCTCAGCTCACTGCAAGCTCCGCCTCCCGGGTTTCGCCATTCTCCTGCCTGGCCTCTCAGTAGCTGGGACTACAGGTGCCCGCCACTTCGCCTGGCTAGTTTTTGTATTTTTAGCTGGACAAAGTTTCACCGGGATAGCAGATGGTCTCGATCTCTGACCTCGTGATCCGCCTGTCTCGGCCTCCCAAAGTGCTGGGATTACAGGCTTGACCACGCGTCTGGCCTTACTACTGCTGATTTAAGGCCATTTTTCGTTTATATTACTCTATCATTTCTTCACTGCTCAAATCTGCAACAGTATATGCTGTTTTTCAAGCATATTATGTGAACAGTTGAAAATTCCCAAGAGTATAATTCTTTTTGAAGCATTTGTAAGTTTACACAAGCCCTTATGTGTGTTTTTAAAATCATCATCTCTTGTATTTTCTTCCTGTGAGATAATCTTATACAAAGTATAGATAGAAAGATATTGAAACTATCACATGGTCTGTTTTGTTTAGTGTATTATTTTAATAGGTCAGATTTATTGATGAAAGAAATCTCGATGAAAATTTTTTAATTATGTAGGACACTTGACATTATTTTATCAAGCTACTTTGAAAAGATTGCATCATTTGTATAGAGTGGCACAGATTCAACCCATTATGCATAAATTATATTTGTAATGTTTGAATAGTCAGTTTACCAATTTTAACACGCTTTCACTTCATTTGGTCCTGTTGGTAAACAAGCGACCTTGTGTATTGAAAACCAATTACTTTGGGTGCAAGAAAGAAGGTTAACAATTAGATTGATGGGGCACAATAAATTAACAAATTGGATACTGTTTTCAAATCTTAGATTCAAAATTGGGCTAGCAATAGTTGTTTTAAGGTTTCTATGAGGACTAAATGAGAGAACTTATTAAAAATGAATTACATTCAATATATGTTTATTATGTCGTTATCTCCATATTCTTTATGGTTTATGAATCAAGTCTCATGAGATTTAAATCACTTGTCAAATGTAACCTATTTCAGAATCACCCAACCCATGGTTTTTATTCTAAAAACTGGCACATAAAATGTGGAATAAATGATCAAGTGCCATTCTCCAGTCAGATTTGTTTCTTTTTACATCAAGAAATCTGAGTCACAGAAGGCTTACCGTATCAGCCCATGGCCAGGTTTTGAGTAGGTTGGAAATTGTGATGATATCTACTTTTGTATTTTGAGAGGTACTGATAATGTGAGTACAAAAATGATGATTTGATAACAGCATAGAGTGTGGTATTTCAGCAAAATACATTACTTTTTGAAATAGGAATATTACTGGTTTTGGATTTTTGTTTTTATGAGAAATATTGCATCTCATATTTACCGTGTTAAAAATGGATATATATACTCCAAACATTTATTTTTCTCCTCTAGACTCTTTAGGTCATCTAACAACAAGTGTTGTTCAGAGGAGAAAAAAAAATGTTCACGTGAATGAAGTATTTTTACAAGATTAATATTTTAATAAATTAATTTTAATAATTTAATATTTTAATGTAATTTCTGAAATTAAAGAAAACGGTGTTACATAGTTTAATCCATGCTTTCCATAAGAAGTTAACCTCGTGCTTATGTTTCAAAGCAAAGAACCAAAACAAGACAATATGAAAACTATGCAGTATATGACTGATCAATCTTAAGTGCTAGATTCATTTTCTTGCATTCATTAACCATAAAAATTCTATGGAATGAAGTGATAATTTAGGGCCCTGGCACACGAAAGTGACACTTCTTGCCTGGTAAAAAGAACTAGATATATGCAATTATATAAAGTAAAGACCCAATACATGTTTACAGAAAATATATTCTGGGAAGTAATAATTGTTTTTCTTTTTTCTTTTTTTTTGAGATCGTCTCGCTCTGTATCACCCAGAGCTGGAGTACAGTGAGTATGATGCCGGGCTCACTGCAAGCTCGCCTCCCGGGTTCACGCCATTCTCCTGCCTCAGCCTCCCGAGTAGCTGGGACTACAGGTGCCCGCCACCATGCCCGGCTAATTTTTGTATTTTTAGTAGAGACAGGGTTTCACCGTGTGGGCCAGGATATTGATTCTATATTTAGGTGTTCTAGAAACTGCCATATTGTTTTCCACAGTGCCTGCACCATTTCATATTTCTACCTCGGTGCACAAATGTTCCAGGATTCTCACATGCCATTGCTTGTATTATTTTCTTATTTCCTAGATTATCCACCTGGGACCAGTGTCTACATGGGGAGAATGACAGTCACCTGGGGCTTTGTATCCTTCTGAGGTGTAGCTATGAACCTGGGGATTGAAGTCTACTTAGAGTCCACTGTCTACCTGGGGCCTAATATCCACCTGGGGGCGATGAAAACCTGGGACCAGTAGTTTACCTAGAACCTGTGAGTCTACCTGGTGCTTGATTTCATCTGAGGCCTGAAGTTCCCCTAGTACCTGTTGTCCACCTGAGTCCTGAGTGTCAACCTGGAACCAGATGTCCTCCTGGGACCTGAGTGTTTCCCGGTGCCTCAGGACTTCCTGAAGTCAGCTGTCCACATGGGACCTAGATGTGCACCTGGGGTCTATAGTGTTCACCAGGGCCCTGATGTTCATTTGGAGTCAAGTGTGCAAGTGTGGTGCCATGTCCACCTGTTGCCCAGGTGTCCATCAGAGCCTGGTTTTGGTCTGTGCATTTACCTGGGGCCTCAGTGACCACTTGGGGCTTGATATCCACTTGGGTTTTGGTGTC